GCGTAATTTTGTAAATTCCACGGCCGTGAACAAAATGCGGATCCACGTAAACTTCACCAAGATTCACATTAACTTAATGGGTTAATAAATTCCACGGTCGTGAACTGAAAGTGAATCAATCGTGGATCCAGGCGAAGTTCACATAACTTCACATCAGCGTCATTTCATAAATTCCACGGCCGTGAACTGGATGTGAATAAAAAGTGGATCCACGCAAAGTTCATGTCAACTTCATTTAGTAAATTCCACGGCCATGAACTGGAAGTGTATCAATCGTGGATCCAGGCGAAGTTCACATAACTTCACATCAGCGTTATTTTATAAATTCCACGGCCGTGAACTGGATGTGAATAAAAAGTGGATCCACGCAAAGTTCATGTCAACTTCATTTAGTAAATTCCACGGCCATGAACTGGAAGTGAATCAATCGTGGATCCAGGCGAAGTTCACATAACTTCACATCAGCGTCATTTCATAAATTCCACGGCCCTGAACTGAATGTGAATCAATTGTGAATTCACACGAAGTTCACATTAACTTCATTTCGTAAATTCCACGACCTGAACTGAATGTGAATAAATCGTGGATCCATGCGCGCTTCAGTTGGGTTCACATTCGCGTCATTTAGTTAAATCCACGGCTGTGAACTCCATATGAACCCCTTCTGAATTCACGCGGACTTCACATGGACTCACATTTGCATCATTTGGTAAAATTCACGGCTGTGAACCGAATGTGAATCAGTTGTGGATTCACGAATGTTGACTGGGGTTGAAATAGATATACCTCTCCATCTAGGATTATTTTTAAGTTTGTTTGCATTACGAATTACTTCAATAGGAGTGTTCTCATGAACAAAGCTTACCTTAATAGGTCTACAAAGATTGGTGTTTGATGCATCAAATTTACCAAGTCTTGATATATTTAAATGATCGTTATTGATAAAAAACTTACCTTTTTATGTCCCAAATACACTGTAATTTATTTGATTTGAAATATTTATTATTTCACCTTATTTTGACTTAATATCAAAAAAGCACCCTAATTTTCAATCGAAAATTCTCGCGTCAAAAAATCAGCTTTTTTCAAAAAGTCGGTGTGCTTTTGAAAATCTCTACTTTCTGATGGTGTAAAAAAAATATACATTACTGTGGTAAATGTTCTCAGAAAATGCAAAAAATATTATAATGAATAACGAAAAAAACTCGAATTCGAAAATTTATTTTAATCATTATATACAATTTCATCAAAAAAATGTGATTGTTGCAATTTTTTTTAGTTAAAAAGTTTATTTATTAAATTCTAATAACATTTATGTCAGAAAATCTCATAAAATATAAAAATACATGTAAATCATACTATTGAATTTAGATACTTCATTCTAATTACGTTATTCATTATAATATTTTTTGTATTTTCTGAGAACATTTACCACAGTAATGTATATTTTTTTACACCATCAGAAAGTAGAGAGTTCATCGAACAAAAAGCACACCGACTTTTTGAAAAAAGCTGATATTTTGACGCGAGAATTTTCGATTGAAAATTAGGGTGCTTTTTTGATATTAAGTCAAAATAAGGCGAAATAATAAATATTTCAAATCAAATAAATTACAGTGTATTTGGGACATAAAAAGGTAAGTTTTCACCAAACTTCGAGGAAAAATTTTTTTTTTAAAAAGATAAAAATAAAAAACCAAAAACTAGGTTTTTTGAATTTTTCACATAAATTTTGAGGTTATGTGAAAAAATTGTAAATAGAAAAGTTGTAGATCTTTTTATTACCTACAACTTTAACATTTAACTTTTTTCCATAGGACTTTTGCCGGAAATCGAGATAAACCATTTTTTACCCTTAAACCCCCCCCCCCCTCCCACTTCCCGAAGTCAGATCGCCCGTAATTTATTTTTCCTTTAATTTTTATTATATTCCCCTCCTTTTCCAATGGGTTTCATACTACTGTTATTTTTTTTCTCTTTTTACCATTTTTAAAGGCTTCTGCACTGGTCTAATATTACTTCATTATTTCAAAGTAAAAACAAGAAAAAAATTATTTTTTTACAAACGGGGCTTGAATGAAGTTATTGAAATTTTTCACCGTTTTACATATCACCCTGTAGGAAATTTACTTGAAGAACCGCGAGCTTCTTATCTATATCATGAATTGCCAGAGGATGAGGCTAGCAGACAACCAAAATAAAATAGTTCAAGAAACAAAAAAGTTATGTCGTTTTGAAAAAGACAATTACGACTACCCAAATCTGTGAAGTATTACTCTAAACATTTTGGATTACAATTTAAAGTTGGGGAGTTGTTAGTTAGCTATAGGGACCTTTCTTCCTTGTCGTATAATACGGTTTAAACGGGTGACATTCACAATATCGAAATTCATTATATCGAATTCAAAATATCGAACACTTTTTATCGAAAATCAAAATATCGAAAATACAAAATGTCGAAGATCAAAATATCGAAAATTCAAAATGTCGAAATAAAAATATCGAAATTTTATTTAATCGAATTTTCAATTTATCGAAAATAAAATCTCGACCGCTGTCATACAGGTTATGACGAATAGCTGTCATCTTGGTTATGCAGGTACACTGCATTGTGCCATACCAAACCAACCCAAACTTAACAACCCAACCGACCCCGCCCCATTGGGCCCCTCTCGCCCCATTGAGCAATAGAGGTATAATATATCTAAGGGCAGGCTGGATTGTGACAATGGGGCGGGAGGGGCCCAATGGGGCGGGGTCGGTTGGATTGGGTTGTTAAGTTTGGGTTAGTTTGGTGTGGCACAATGCAGTGTACCTGCGTAACCAAAATGACAGCTATTCGTCATAACCTTGAGGAATACTTTGCTACATTTAGCCTCTAGTTGAAAATGAGGATAAAATATGCGACGGTTGAGCATACACATTTCTACGTCCGTCCGACGGTCGAGCACACACTTTTCTACGTCCGTCCGACGCGTCGCGACGGTCGGGGAGACACTACCTTTAATTATTCGACATTTTCAAATCGACATTTTAATTTTCGATATTATCATTTTCGACATTTTGAATTTTCGATATTTTGATCTTCGACATTTTGTATTTTCGATATTTTGATTTTCGATAAAAAGTGTTCGATATTTTGAATTCGATATAATGAATTTCGATATTGTGAATGTAACCCGGTTTAAATGCCACCCTGTCTTCCCCCTGTGGTTTCCTTGCGTCGTCGTAGACGTCCGAGGCGGCTAGTGTTGTTTCCACTTCTACCCAAGAGCCTTTTTCAGTCTAGTCGTTTCAGCACAGTTCTTTATACTGTGGTTTAGGTACGCATTGGTTTGTCCGTCTATGTCTTTTAAGTTTTTATAACGACTGCTGAGTTCGATCATTGCATTTTCGACGTAGGGTCTACAGGTTTCTAGGCTTATTTATGTCTCGGTTAATTAAACACTTTTGTTTATTGGAAAAGGTCTTTTAAATTTATGGCTTTTGTGACTTACTTGGTGATTGTTTTATTTGTCTTGCTCAGCTGTAATCCTGTGAATGAAAGCGATAAGAATTGGGACGGTTTGGACTGTTTTTTTGTACTGTTTTGTTACTATTGTCTTATTATCAAAGTTGCTGTTGCTCTTTGTTTTACATTGTTTTTTTTTAGTTTAATTTTTTGACTTGGGTTGTGTTTAAGCGGAAAGAAGCGCTTTTAGGGTTGTGTAGGTGTCTGAACCTGGTTAATGTTGCAAATTTATGTATTAGTTCATGCATTCATTTCTAAGAGTACTTATCAAATGTTTGTAGATGATGGCCCTTTCCACGCTTGGTTAGCCTCGTTTGTTCTTCAAATAGAATGATTCCTATAGTTTATTTGCACTGTAGGAGTAGTATATTGTGGGACGTACAATTTTGGTTTCAAACGAGGTCTCGGTTACTAGGGTTTATAGAGTTCGAACGTGACTGAGTGATGAAATTTTCCCACCTATTACATATCAATCAATTTGGGTAGGATTTTACACTGCCAAAATAAATTAATGGAAAAATTAAAAAATATTTAAAAAAATTACAAAAATTTATTGTACAAAACCAAATACACTTTTAAAAAGAAAAATTATTGACAATTAACAAAATCTATAAAATATTATTTAAATAATATTGTATTATACTTAAAGTAAACAAATTAAAATATAAGAAAATAACTTAAACAAAAAATTTACTATGGAATAGTTTTAGGTATTTTAAAAAGAAAAAATATTGCCTATTAACAATTTTCTGAATAGAAGATTATAAAACTTTTAAATCAACATGGATAAAAGTCTAAAGTCTTATTTAAATAATAAGTAGACAAATTCAAATATAACATAACCTTAAACATAGCCTAAATAAAAAATAAACAATGAAGAGCAGTTTTAGGTAAGGTGAACAACCGTCTTGGTTTACCCAGGACAGGTTCTGGTTTTTGCTAATGTGTCCTGGTTTCAATTGTCTACTGGTTTTGTCCTGGTTTTGCAGATTTGGTTCTTGTTAATACTAATTTGTTTTAATATTGACGTTATTACATATTTTTTTCAAATAATACACATTAAATAAAATAAATTTTGTTTATTTTTTGGAAGGGCGAGTTGTGTCCTTTTATGCATATAATATATGCATGAAAGGCATATACCTATTATTATGCCATCTATACGCATAAAAATACCTTATCTTTTAACTATATTTTCCCAAAAACCACTGGGCAGAATTTGCACAAAATTTGGCGATGTCAACACTTTAATTTCACCACAGAACAAAAGCCAACTCTATAAATATAGTACAAACATAGGTAAAAAAAATTAAATAAATAAATGTTGTCAGCCACCATTGTTCAAACAGGAAGTTTTCTAATGAATATTGGAAATACAATTATAAAAACGCCGAACATATAGTAAGGCAAGAGCATTATTACATTTAAAAAATGTTTTATGTTTGATTAAAGTAAAACGGTTATTAAGTAATTTTAAATTTTGTTTTAGTGTTGGGAAAAAGGAATTCCATTACTGAAGGAACTAGCACATCAATATGAAACAGTATTTTTTGATTATAAAGCTTTAAGTGATATACTTAAGACGCAAGCCAAATTTTACGATAATATTTTGATACAACTCCGCCCAGAACCAGAATATTTTAAAGTTGGCTTCTATGGCCTTAGTTGTCCTTTGTTTGTTCGGGTAAGTCAAAACACTCTATATAAAATTAACCATATTTATATCATATATTATAAAATAAAAAAACGTGTTTACGTTACATTTTATATTCTTTAAACTATTCTTTTTCCATGTAGTTACCTGAATAAATGTTTTTTTCTTTCTTATAATTTACTTATGTAAATTATTTTGACTATTGGAATTCTTTATGACCTTAGCAAAATTTCAGCAAACTGTGATATTAACCATTGTTCCTTAAATAATATTGTTGTGGTTATTTTAAATTCACATGTATAAGGCTGATTGAATGTCTAATTTTTAATTATGTATGTTCACTTTTAGTTTTAGTTTTGAGTTATAGGTACCTTGTATGTAATTTTTTTCTGTAAACTTCTGTGTTTTATTATATGAATGTCCTGTTTGGTGTAAGCTGTTGGGCAATAAAGTTTATATTATTATTATTAACTTAAGTTAAACCTAAAGCAGAGGGACTAACAAAATTTTTTATGAATACGATTGTTCAAGGGTTTTAATCAGCTATCGAGAAAAGGTTGTAATCTTTGGATATTTGCTTCACCCTGTAGATTTGGTATCGAGTACGGTCATGGTGAAGCCCGTAAAGGCGGAAATTTGAACAGCTTCAATTCCTGTCCCACTGGAGTTTTCCGAAGGTAGACATGCGCAGTCTTTAAACAAGACATCCTGCTTGCCGCATCTGGAGCACAAATTTCGCCCTCTTTGCGACGTTCCGTGGAAAAATTCCCTCCTTTTCCACACCGCCAGCATACAAGTTTTAGGTCGTGTATTGTGGTATTAGGTGGTTTGCTGGTGTGTTTTGTTGGTGTATTTATTTTTGAAGACTTTAATCAAGTAGAAGGCTTCTGTTGTCAGTATAAACTTAATTTGTCTCATATAATTCTTGAAAGGCAAATCTATGATACAAGCTGGTAATTTATTATAAAGCTTAGCTCCAGAGTAAAAGGGGCTTTTTTCATAAAATTTTAATTAGTGCTTTGGATAAAGCAGAGTATTTCCGTGCCTAGTGTTTACGTGGTTTACGTTTAGGCAAGGGAATCTATTTAAATTTTGTTTAACAAATTTTAAAGTTTTCATTATATATAGTGATGGGAAGGTAAGTATTTTTTCATTTATAAAAGTGTTTCTGCATGAGTGCCTGTAAGGTAGATTGTACATGCAGCGAATTGCTCTTTTTTGGATGGTGAATATTCTGTCGGCTTGGGAGGAATTACCAGAAATAACTATTGCATAACGAAATATAGAAATAAAATTTGAGTAGTAAAACATTTTAACAATGCTTTGGTTAGTTAGTTGGTGTAATCTTTTTAACGCAAAGCAGTTGCTTGCACATTTTTTGCTAATGTTGTCCACGTGATCTTTAAAAGTAAGCGACATATCAATATAGACAGCTAGTAATTTTGAAATAGTTACTTGATGGATAGATTTCCCGTTGAGTTTTATTAAGGGGCTACACATATAACTGGCATTTCGCGGATAAAATTCCATCAAGACAGTTTTTCTTGGTTAAGTACCAGTTTATTGTAGGCAAAGTATTGCGCTGCAATATTTAGGTTGTCATTAAGTTGCCTTAATGTGGAAATTTATCTTTGTTTGCGGATATAGACGTAGTATCATCGGCAAAAGAACAGTGAAAGTTAGATAAATAATATCTCAAATCATTACAGTATATTAAGAATATAACGCTGCCTTGAGCTACTCCTGTGTCTATTTCTTTATCGTCTGATAACGTGCCAAAAAAAGAAACTTGTTGTTTTCTGTGTCTTAAGAAAGAAAGGATAAGTTGTTTGCAAACTCCACGAATCCCGCATTTTTCCAGTTTTTCATTTAAAACATCTGAATCGACACAATTAAACGCCTTCGATAAGTCCAATAGCAACGCCATGTTGGTGTAAATGAAGTTTAAAATGTCAATAAGTGCAGATAGAGTTGATTTGCCTTGTCTAAACCCGTGTTGTTTATCGGAAAGTATATTGTTTTGATTTAAAAATTTTATAAGACGCATGACTATTAATTTTTCAATAACTTTGGAAAAGATGGACAGTAACGAGATTGGTCTATAGTTACTAATTGATTTAGAATGCAAACTACTTTTGAGGTTTTAAGACATGTTGGAAAGCAGCCTTCTGTAAAGCACATATTAATTAGGTAACAGAGAGGTTTGGATATTTCCATCGCGCATTTAGTAAGAAAGTTGGAAAATTATCAATACCACATGAGTTCGAATTTTTTAGTTTTTGAATTGTATTTACTAGTTCGAGTTCAAGTACTGGCTCAAGAAAGATTGAATTTTTTATTGACTTGACGCCTCCCAATAAACATTTTAACGGTATTTATCACCATTAATATTGCCCGTGTAAGAATTTTTAATACTTTTTAATACAATGCAATGATAGTAATTAAAAACAAAACAATGGTTTAAAGAGTAAAATATGTTCTTAACATAATCATATTTTAAAGTTATTTTAACATTTTCAAGTAAAAATAAATGTTATGTTTAATAAAATGAATAACGGGCAATGTTAATGGTGACAAATAACGGAAAATGTTTACTGGGAGCTGTTTCGCTTTTCGCTGATACAATAGGTGCTTTCCTTTCATTTTTGAAGTGAGCCAAGCAAAAGTGAGATAAGCGAGGCCACTTACGCGCACTCATCTTACCTAAAATAGACCAAAGGAACGGTTGGTAAGCCTATTTTCTCTAAAAGAGACACTTGACAGTTTAACCCTTATGTTCAAGTATTAAGTATAATTATAATGGGTATTTATATAATTTATATATACAAATTTTACATTTCTTTGACCATATTTGGCCACTTAAGGACAAGCATTTACAACTTTAATTTATTTTAAGAAAAACTATAATTTATTAAATAATATGTTTGTTTTTATTTTTTACGGCTAATGTGCAAACTTGGATAGTTTATAAACTAGCCAAACTGTCAGCTATTTTAACCAAGGATCTTGGCTAATTTACTTGAAATTATTAGGTAAACTAAAATAGCTGGATAGTTTGTATACTATCCAATTCAATTTGGCTAATATGAAAACCAAAATTTCTAGTAACACAAAATGGCCAAGCTTTAGCTAGTTTGTAAACTAACCAACTAATCCTCTCATTTTTGTTCATTTTAGTTGGGTTTTTTTCTCAATGGGGCGGGGGGACCCAATGGGGCAGGGTCGGTTGGGTTGTGTTGTTGAGTTTGGGTTGGTTTGGGTTTTTTCTCTTATTTTTGTCCATTTGACCAATGGGGCGGGGGGGAGCCAATGGGGCGGGGTCGGTAGGGTTGTCTCACTTTTGCTTGGCTCACTTCAAAAATGAAAGGAAAGCACCTATTGTATCAGCGGGGATAGGAAATTCATTGCTGAAATTGATGTTTTACCTTGTAGTTAGCGATAATAATAATAATAATGCTTTATTGAACTAAAACCAAGTTCAAAGGCTATTGACCGTAGTCCTTCAGCCGATGAGTTTACAATAAATTTTGATATAAGTATAAATATAAATAAATATCTTTATTGACGGATTAACCATTAGATATAAACAAAAGTAATCATTACAATTTTACATTAAAGACCTTTTGAAGGACTGGAGAGTATTGCCAAAGAAATCTACATTTAAAGAATTTGCATTTGTGCACATCCTATGTAATGGTGCATAATAACCATAGTTTGTATTATGGTGACATATATAAAAAAGATTTTTATTTCTTAGTCTTAACTGAGGCACTTGAAAATTAATTCTGCCAAGCAATTCAGGGCTATCCATAATCCCATTTAAAAGTTTAAATAGGAAATGCATATCAAATTTATCCCTTCTTTTGCTTAGGGTATCAACATTAATCAAGTGTCTCAATTGTACATAATCATAGTCATCAATAATTAAATTTAATTTAAATGCACAAAATCTTAAAAATTTATTTTGTACTCTTTCTATTTGCATACAATAAGTTAAGTAGTGAGGAGACCATACTACACAACCATATTCCAAAATACTTCGAACAAATGAAATATACACATTTTTTATACACATCACATCATTAAAATCTTTTTCTTACTACCTCGACTCAAAATACGTTGTTTCGTCCCCGATTTCACGGCAGAAAGTTTACGTTTCTTGCATTGGTCAAGCTATACGCGCACACTCTAATAGCGGGAGTAAAAATTTTTTAGTCGTGTGCTTAACATTCAAATTTCGTACTGCCAACATGAGAAACACAAAAATATGACAGTTTTAAACCATAATTTTGCAATTATAACAACAAATAAACAATTTATGTTTTTACTTTTTTACTTTTTATGTTGTTTTAAGTGTTTAATGGTACTTTTATTTGTTATAATGTAGTAATTTGTTAATTAAAATACAACCTTTTATTTTTACTGTATTGGCACCGCTAAATTACCATGACAACGCTACAGTTTGATTGATTTTGAATGTAAACGTCAGAATTAAATTAAACGTCAGATTTTAATTTTGACACAAGTTTTTTTATATACATTTAATTTTTTCCCGTATTTTCTGCCGGGTAGCAAGAAAAATAGTATACACTACACGGGCAGAAAGTGTAAGAGCCCTGAACTGCGCGCCATGATGCCCTCGGCTTCGCCTCGGGCATCATGGCGCGCAGTGCAGGAATCTCACACTTTCTGCCCTTGTAGTGTAATATACTATTAAGTTCCGTTTAACAAAACCTAACATTTTTAAAGCTCTATTACTTATAATAATTATATGTTCGTTAAACGTAACCTTAGTATCAAAATAAACACCCAGATCCTTAATTACATTTACATCATTAATACTATAAGAAAAAATAATTTTATTTTTTATCCTAAAAAAATTTATTACTTTGCATTTGCTAATATTTAAAGACATACAATTATCACTGCACCAAGATTCTAAATTCTTAATATCCACTTAAATTTTTTTACAGTCATCTAAACTGGACACTACACTATACAATTTAAGGTCATCTGCAAACAATAATACC